TTGTGCCCTGGTAGGCCCCTGTGGCTTACTTGAACTATTACAGAGAAAAACAAGCTCAAAAAGCTGTGGTCGATGGGGCAGCAGTCTAGGAAGCCATTTTAACAATTATGGTTACATTATTAAACTAAAATTAAAAATTATTAATACTCAGAAATGGAAAATACGCAGAAAAAGGCGTATTTTGCGCGGAAAAAGGAGGTGTGGTTGAAATTGCGGCGCGCTTCGCACACCCAATCATCCCCACTGGCCCCTGTCCTTTTGCTGCTCTGCCTACGCCACTGACATCGCTTGTTCATGATTTGTTAATATTTGCTACACGTATATTTGCACTTTATTTATTTAATGCGTCTTTACTTGCTGTGTGTTCAATTCCAGTTTGACTATAAAGGATTGTTGTGGCAGGGTCACAGTGTCATTAAACTCAATACTTCGCTAGCCACATCAGTTCCACTGGAAGGATTTGATAAAACTGGAAAAAGTATCAGTAAAATAGTAAGCGAAAAGACTTTGAATAAAAATAATAAATCAATGCACTAAAATACTATTTATTACCTTTTATGTGTATCATGATTATTTTAAAAACTATATTAAATATTTCATTTTTGATGCTTTTACTTAAACTCTACCTGTTTAATAGATGGTTTTTATTGTACTTATCTTTTGCAGTGGGTTTGCTTACAGACCAGTAAAGATCAGGTGTCTCATTTGAATTTATTTGCTCCTTTTTGGATTGTAAACAAAACCGAACTGAGCCTGGAATATGAACACCAGGTAAGTCTGTTACATATATACCACTTATGCTTTGTATTAATAATAGTATTTTTTAGCAAAATTCTATTTTTGTATTCTTTTATGTTGTAGTCTGGTAAAGCGAAGTCGGTTCGATATTATTCCCACTCATCAGTTGGGCCGTTGCCAGTATTGATAACTTACAATAAAACCAGCAAATCTGATCACGAGCATCAAAAGGTCAAACTAAAGGTCAGCAATGGAGGGGACTGGTCGAGAACCTTTGTCATTGGAGCTGTTGGAAAGTCGTACAGTGTTTCATCAAAACTACGCAATGGATTCATATACGATGTATGGAAATAAATACAGTACGGGTAGTAAATTTCGAGGGAATAAAATTTTGTGTTTAGTGATTAATTTTTTTAATTTTGAGGGGGTTAAATTTAGCGTTTTCACACATGCAGTGGCATTAAGTCATAGATTTCCACATGCTGTGCATGCACAGTGAGCATTTCCATGGTATTAATCTTTGTGGTTAAGAGTCATGCACCCACGAAATCTACAAAATAAATACCCCACAGAATTTTATAGGCTATACTTTAGCTAATATTTTGTTTTAGTTTTCAGTTGATACTCGTTTACTGAAGAATGCCCTAACTGAGATTGTCTATATTATTCCCAAGTATTCAGTGCTCAATGAAACTGAAGTAAGTATCACCTCATTTATATCATTTCATGTATAGTCTATACAACTAATATACATATTGTGATGTGCAGGGGAGTTTTGGCATAGTTCTTGTCAATGATTTTGATTGAAATTTAATTTTATGTTGAAGTTGCTTCAAAATTTGACAAAAGATGTTCACTATAGATTTAAAGAATAAAATTGAGTAGGATCCAATTTATGCTAAATCATTAAAAAGTATCACAAAAAAATGTTCCAAAATCACCCCCAATTTTTATTACATTTTTTGATAGGTTGATGTTCTTGAAAGTTCAAAAAATAATTTTCAAGTTATGAGCATTGTTTAAAATACACCAATTTTTGAAAAATACCCAAGGCTATAGCCCATGGTTTTTTCCAAAAAATGGCTCTGAAATCACCCTCAATTTTTATTATATTTTCTGATACATATTGATGTCCTTATGCTATGTAGAAAGTTTAAGTCTGTTCCGACTTAAATTTTTCAAGTTATGGCTGTTTTTAAAAATGTGCCAATTTCTGAAAAATACCCAAAGCTATAGCCCATGGTTTTTCCGAAAAATGGCTCCAAAATCACCCTCAATTTTTATTACATTTTCTGTTACATATCAATCTCCTTATGCTATGTAGAAAGTTTGAGTCTGTTCCGACTTCAATTTTCAAAGTTATGGCCATTTTTAAAAATGTGCCAATTTCTGAAAAATACCCAAGGCTATAGTCCATGGTTTTTTCCGATAAATGGCTCAGAAATCACCCTCAATTTTTATTATATTTTCTGATACATATTGATGTCCTTATGCTATGTAGAAAGTTTGAGTCTGTTCCGACTTCAATTTTTCAAGTTATAGCCGTTTTTAAAAATGTGCCAATTTCTGAAAAATACCCAAGGCTATAGCCCATGGTTTTTTCCGATAAATGGCTTACAAATCACCCTCAATTTTTATTATAATTATTTTCTGATACATATTGATGTCCTTATGCTATGTAGAAAGTTTGAGTCGATTCCAACTTCAATTTTTTAAGTTACGCCTGTTTTTTTAACTATGCCAATTTCTAAAAAATACCCAAGGCTGACCCATGGTTTTTTCCAAAAAATGACTCTAAAATTACCCCCAATTTTTATTACATTTTCTAATACATATTGTTGTCCTAGAAAGTTTAAGTTCATTCCAACTTCAATTTTTCAAGTTATGGCTGTTTTTAAAAATATACCAATTGCTAAAAAATACCCAAGGCTGACCCGTGGTTTTTTTCCGAAAAATGGCTCTGAAATTACCCCTGATTTTTATTACATTTTCTGATACATATTGATGTACTTATGCTATGTAGAAATTTTGAAGCAATTCTGACAATTATTTTTTGAGCTATAAGCATTTTTTAAAATGAGCCAATCTTTGAAAAATATCCAGCCATCATAGCTTTTTCCAAAAAGTGGCTCTAAAATATAAAAGAATGAGTCATGCTTTTTAGCTCAATTAGCATGCTTTGTTCCATACATGAGCCATACATGTCATTATGTATTATACTGTATTAGGTTCCTCTTGTCTGTATACCACTTGATTCTAATAAGGAGAGAAAAAAACTAAATGCAATCAAACTGTCACCAAAAGAGGTACAACTTCTCTCACTTGATCCCATGCATTCTTACTGTGCATGTATTTTGTGTTGTTTTTAACAGTTGGTTCCATTCTGGCCCGGCTCACTAACACGTGTTGCAGTTAGCATCAGTGTTAATGATGATTCTAAAATCAGCGATCTTGATTTATCAAATAATGTCAAATGGCATGAGTTTGGGCTCAATGTTGTGAGCCCTATGGTACTACCAATGAATAACAAGGCAAGCAACCTTTCCACTATCAATCTATTCTTCATCCCTGCTCATTCCTTTAGACACTACCGGTACTGACTGTTAAGACTCAGCATGATCCTGTAAAGAGTACTGCTGTGATATCACTCCACTCTTATGCTGACACTGGAGCTTTGCTTGAAGTTGTTAACCTCTGTCATGAACTGAGCATCAAATTCATGCAAGGGTAAGACAGTAGTATACAATAAAATTAATAAATATAAAATAATAAATACCTTAAGCCTACTATTTTTAGTGTCTAATAAATTTAGCGATATTAGCGAGAGAGCTTTAAATCGCTAAATTAAATAGACGCCAAAATAATTATTATTCATTATAATGGTTATTATTTATAGTTAATTTGATTAAAAACGCTAAAATTAGTAATGCTAAACATGACTTTTGCTGATTTCGCTAAAATTAGTAGACGCAAATAATAGTAGGCTTAAGGTAGATAAATAAATAAATAAATAAATAAATATGATTATTATTTTTTTAAATTAATAGTATGAGCAGTGGTTCTGGTCGGTTGTACACCCTCTCTCCTAACCAGTCAATATTATACACTTGGGATAGTCCAGCAGGCGAGAGACAGCTCAAGTGGCAAGTCATTGGAGCTGTTGAAAGAGATTGGCGTACACTCTTATTTGAACAAGTAAACTAACCTAAATATAGTATATACATGTAGAATAATATTTTCTAATAACTATTATGCATGTGTGTTTAATGTAGTGAGTGCAAGAATACAATGTTTGAGTTAAGAGTAGATTCTGGTATTATGAGATGGTTTGTATTATGGGACACTGCTTGTAATTTTAATGATAAAATTTGAAAATTCAAGAACCTCATTATTTGTGCATGTACTCTAATCTTGGATTATTTTCTTAGGTAAAGCAAGCTGGCTCAGCTACTGCTCATGTAGCAAGGGATGATATAATTGGAGGAGGAGGAGGAGGAGGAAGAGGAATATTAAAAGATGAGAGGGAGAGACTAGTAACCTGCTACTGGGCCACAATGTTTGAAGGATCACAACTAACTTTAACTTTCTTTGACAAGAAAACTGACTATGAGAGACTAATCAAAGTAACACACACTAACCCTCTCTCTCTCTCCCCGTCCCTCTCTCTCTCCCTCCCTCTCTCTCTCTCTCTCTCTCTCTCTCTCTCTCTCCCTCTCTCTCTCTCCCTCTCTCTCTCTCCCTCTCTCTCTCTCTCCCTCTCCCCCGTCGGGGTCCCTCTCTCTCTCCCTCTCGTGGGGTCTCCCTCTCCCTCCCTCCCTCTCTCTCTCCCTCTCTCTCTCCTTGTGTGTATACTTGTTTATTATTGATGTAGTTACGACAAGACAAGGATTATGCTGATGTGCAGGTATTCTGTTCACTGGAGGGCATTGGACTATCACTAGTGAATGAGATGAGGGAA